AGTTGCTTTGGTGAAGGCAACCCAAAAGGACCATGCATAACCGGGTCAAGTACATACAAAATATAGTTACGGGCTTAGACACTAATCCAACAAAAAGGTCCATGGACTATCCATGGACTCCCATGCATGCCAAGCCCATTCCAAATGAGTATTAGCCCATACTACATAAAATACAAGAGCCATATTTAATTGGTCACCTTTTTTATCACCAAATTAATTCTAAATTAATTTATGATCAATACTAATTAAATAATATGATTTCATATTAATATATTATAACTTATAATATATTAATAAATCATGAACATACTATTTTCAAAAGATTATCCATACAAATTATTCGGGTGAAATGCAACCCAAATGGACCATGCCGGATCGAATCAAGTGCATCTTAAATAATATTATGGACTTAGACACAAAATCCAACAAAACGTCTCCGTATAATTTTTTCAAACACGCACCTCAAACTTAAAATATCATTAATACATTCCACAAAAACACAGGACCATTCTAGCTAGGGCTTTTTTCAAGAAAAAAAAGATGCTCTCACTTCTCCCTGGCCTCTGTAACAACCGACGATATCAGTACCTCACTTTGCATGGACTTCCTGACTTCTCCTTCGACAACCTTAGGTAGCTTCTCTTCGTCAGCATCCTCGGGCTCACCTGACGTCGTCGGAGACTGCGATGATCTAAATACCCCATCCTTTCCCTCTTCTTTTCTCTAACTCTAGAAACAACCATCCACAGCCAACACTACCTCCTACTCCGTCGACAACATCCCATCCATCAGCCAAACCGGAGATCGAACCCACCAAACACCACTGGTTCTTATTCAACCGTTCATTGTTGTTATTTATATCTAGGATGTACCGGATTCCCCACCATCTCTTCAACAAAAATAAATTTAACACGCTTTCTGAATAAACCCATTTGTCTCTCTTCCTCAACGCTGTCTTCCACTCACAACAACACCTCCTTCTGCCTTCTAGCAGAAATCAAGACTAAAGCAGAAGCGTATTTCAAACAGTCCTCATAATTTCTTCAAGATTAGGGTTTTAAAGCTCTAATGTGTTATTGTTAAGTAAGGCCTATGTTCAGATATAACTGTTATTCTCTTCTTTTTTTTTCGAAGAATTCAGTGCCAAAACCCCTCTGTGCACAATCTGATTAAAATTCCTAAAAACCTATGAATCATCTATTGTGCAGGTTTGTTTGAGGCTTCACCACTTTCCCAAAGAAAATTTTGTTGCAAGTGGATTGTATTCAATACGAGAGATGCATGTATGGAGTTTCCATTTCATAAGGTTGACTTTTCCTACACTTATTTGTACTATTTTTAAACTTTATTTCATATAATTCTAAGGTTCTAGCTGCTTGGTATCCTTATTTTGCTAAAAGGTTGCTCACAGATCTGAATCTGTGTCTAAGAGATGAGTCTGCAACTTTGTTTATGATGAATGTGCACCAGATAGCTTTGAGAAGAATGCAATTAAAAATGTTCAAGTAAAATTGGGCTATGTTCATGTGGAATGCAAATTCAAAATAAGTAACAGTGTATGCTGCATATTAGTTTGTGAACCTAGTTACCTCGTTGCTGAAGAAAGTGGAAGAATGAATTTATGGACCATGAACTCAACATGAAGGTATGTTTTGCTTTACCACTTATATATGCGTACAAATTGAAATTGAAAGAATGATTTTCATATTTGTTTTTTTTACACTTGCAGTGCAGCAACAGAACACAACTATTTAGCAACATCTGATTGCTTGTCTAATTTTATAGTTTCTATGAAAAAAATACCAAATTTCCCAGCTTTGGTTGTTGGTTATACTGTATTTGGAGATTTTCGCTTGTGGTAAGCAACATCTTATTTTCCTTGCCTGAAATGAAGTCGAATTGAACCAAAAACATTTTGATTTTTTGTTTACTGCGATGTAACAAGAATAATCCTGGTATCAAAGTTTTCAGTTCTAGGAACTTCATTTCTTTCCTTCCTTCGAATAAATACATTCAGGTGTCCAAAAAGTGATTGTAAAAATAAACAAGTAGTTGGCATGATGGTGATCGAGGACACAAAAATAGACAATCATGAAGATCTGTCTCTTGTTCTTCTTGTTTCATCTGTCTCAGATCATGATCTTGATGATGAAAAACCGTTAAAAGATTGTAGATGCTGGACTCTAGCATTGTTGGGCAAAAACAAGACGATTCTGCTAAATGATTTGGATCCAAGGTACATTTACATCAGCCTATGTTTCTATGAAGTTGTTTTGATTAGAAACAATGAAATGATGTGATGTAATTGTGTAGTGTGCAGTAGCACCGTAGCTGGTGTATCAGCAGGGTATGGAATCATGTGTACATGTGAGGGCTCTCTGTACACATGGGAATTATCTTCAGGAGCTAAGCTTGGTTATCTCACGCATTGCAGAGGTATGTATATTTCATTTTTATAGCCTAATAACTAACTGAATTTTTTTAAATCTATAAATATCTTTTTAATGTTGGTGGAATCAGGAGCCACATTGTCCTGTTTGGTGGCGGATGATTCGGGCTCTTCTGGTGTATTTGCAGTGGCTGTGGATGGCACCCAGCTGCAGGTATATGCTCTTGGAACATTAGAAAATAAAAACAAAGGTACCAAAATAAGGTTCTTAATAGTTCCAACTTCCAACTTCCACTTTTTATGGGGGTGAAAATGATTTGGGTCCCAGTGAAAACACACATGGATCAAATGGTGGAAAAAGGTCTTACACTTTGTAACAAGGGTATTCTGGACCGATTTATTCAACTTCATTTACTCCTTTCAGGGATTTTTCTTTTATCATCATCATCAGATTCGACAAGCAATAATCTCTCACCCTTTTCTCTATTTATGTAACAAATCTCTTTATTTATCATATTAAATATGCAACGGCTAGAAGATCCCTTATTTTACTTGTAACTTGTATATTTGTGTTAGCACATATATATATATATATATATATATATATATATATATATATATATATATATATTGTTGCATAAATTGGTAAAAGGTGAAATATTGTTGCATGAGTAATTGTACGTAGACATGTGAATTATAGTGGGAGTGTTCTTGTTTGTTTATATTTAAAAGGATTAAATGCATATTTATGAAACAACATACACCCTTTTCCCGATTATGCAACAAAATTGTTTCTTTATTAGAAAATATGCACCCGTGTATTATTTATTGTAGGACCAAAACATACGAGATTTTACCAGCAACCTGATGAAACATGGTTGTATAATCCGTGTAATCAGAAACTTAGTTATCATGTGAGTTATAGTTGGTGTGTTCTTGTTTCTATATTTATAAACTTGATATTCTGTTAGGGCTTTTTTTTTTTATCGAATGCGGTCTCGGTAAAATAATATTTGAGATAAATGACGGAACACTTGGGAAATGGGTGAATTATGCCAAATATAATAATAAATCTACATTGTAATGCGGATTCTATCACTTTTATTATGTAAGCTTCTGATAAATTCTCGGCATCTCTTGGTTTCATAGGAGCTGAAACAAACTCTTACAATCACAAAAGCTGGGATGCAGTTCATGCAAATAAAATTCCATGAGGAGATTCAGAATCTTGGTATATTTTTCAACAATTTCCTCTCTCTCTTTTCCATTTTATCATCATTCTAAAATCTTGTTGTTTTAGGTCTGCACATTCATGGTCTAGCTAGTGTTGCTTCTAGGTGTCAAATAGTCCTTGAGGAAAACCGAAAGCTATATAATGAGATCCAATATCTTAAAGGTGACATTGCCAGTTTCTTGAATGTGTTTCTTGTATCTCATGCAAAATATTTATAATGTCTCTGTTTTTATTGTTGAACAAAGGAAGGATACTCTTCAATATGATGTCTCTGTTCAAATGATTTAGATTTATAACGAGCAAGTTCGGGATCCTTGTTACTAAGGGTTTAAACAAAAAGATATCTTTTTCATTTAATAAATTCTCTCATCTCATTAAATGAAATGTTTACACCGAAATAATAAAAAAAACATTCTCATTTTTGGGTTCCTTAATCTGATATTACATTAGAAATTCGTAACAATTCACATAATGGATTCAATGTTCCAAAATGCTAGCATGGTCCACGTGGCATCTAAGGTACTCTACTTGCATTTCTCCACTCTCCACCCATACATATTTTTCTCACAGTTCTCTAGTGATATTTTTCCTTGTGTCGTAGAATGATTGGCTCCTATCTTGTTTTTTGATATTTATATGCAATTTTTTTCTTAGGCCGGGGTTGGCGAAGTTCAATACCATGGTGAGGTTGCAAGGCTTAAAGCTGCCATCAAGATTGTCAAAGGAGAAATTACTCAGGGTTTCCTTTTAATGTTGTACATGTATTGTTTTTCTATAATAAATATTATGCAATATTAGCAATGTATTACAATTACTTACTATTAGAATGATAATATGTATTTGACATATTAGTGTAATGAATTATCTTTCTTATTTATTGTATTTTATTTTGTATTATAAGACTTTTAATGTATTATTTAATTTGAAAATTACTAAATCTATCAGGATATATAATTTTTAAAACATTTAAAATTATGACACACAAAAATGTGTGTTTTCTTTCTTTATGACAAGGGATTTAATGATACGCAATGTGAGTAGTAAATGCGTGTCGTAAGGTTATGACACGCAAATGCGTGTCATCTTCTTTATGACAGGGCCTTCCTTGACATACATTGCTTGTCGTAAATGCGCGTCGTAAGGTTACGACACGTAAATGTGTGTCGTCTTCCTTTATGACAGGGCCTTCCTCGACACGCATTTGCGTGTCATCTGTGGCTTTTATGACACGCAATGCGTGTCATTAAAGGTTGTTTTGTAGTAGTGGTTGCTGATAACCCACCAGGCATGCTGTTAGCCACTGGGACTGTTGATAGTCCCTAGGGTTGCTGATAACCCATAATTGTCTATTTGTGATGTGTTGTATGCGGTATTTTGGGGAACTCACTAAGCTTTATGCTTACGATTTGTGGTTTACATGTTTCAGGTTTTCTTATATTAAAGGAGGGGAACGGCTCAATTGCATCGCATCAACGAGGGACTTGTGTACTTGATAACTTTTAATGTTACTCTGATAAATGCTTTAAGATTTTGCAATTGTGATTTAAATAAAAAATTAAAGTTTTAATCGAAATTTTGGGTTGTAATTTAGGGCGTTACAAGTTGGTATTAGAGCCTTGGTTTGAGGGATTCAGGCATACTCTTGGGTGTGCTTGAACTTAAACTGAGGATTTGGTAAAATTTTCTAAAAGAAATTGATTTTCTAAGGAATTTTTCTTTTAATATAAAAGGGGTGCGATGCGTGTAATCAGCGGACCTCAAGTAAGTTTTTCGAAAATACCCACACGTGTTATATGATTGATGTTTGATGTGAGTATATGAGAATTGCATGCTAGATTAGGGCTAAGGATATGCTCAGTGTTGCATGGTAGGATGCCTGATTAGGAGAGATTCCTTTATGCCTGTTATGTGAGTTGGTAGTGATGCATGCTAATGATTAGAGATCTTCAGGAGCTTCTTAGGTAGGACTGCCTATATATATGATGATTTTAGTGCTAGATGCCCGAATGTTTCTTGCTTTGTGATTTGTAGGACTCATATTCATGTAATTTATATATCGCATGAATATGTTAAGTTACATGCAGTGAGGGTTAAATAATCTTAGAGTGGTTGACTTGACCTTATTGTGCAGCTCTCGTTTGAGTCTAACCGTTGTAGGGTTGAGTCTTTTAGTCAAAGGATTATCTAAGCTTTGTTGCATGTAATTGTATTAGTGGAGTAGTTAACTGACAATAGTAGAGGTCCTTCAGCAACTGATGGCAGGGTGAGATGGTAATTCTAGGAGAGCCTAGGAAACGCTTTGGTGCGAGTGATGTGCTGCATAGCAGATTTTGGGAGGGTAGCATTCTGAGGAGGTGACTTAGAGGATTCAAGATGATTACAAGGAAAGTACGGATAGTTGTGGAATGTAGTATTGGGTCGTACTATTGGAAGCACATGATCCGTACTCGAATCAAGGAAAGTCCCGAAAATTCTAAAGAGCTGTTTGTGGTAGGAACATGGTTTGGCACGAGGAATCTGTTGCAGCATTTTGGGTATTATTAGCTTTTAGGTTATGGCTGTCCGGGAAGAAGATTGGTCGGATGATTATTTGGGCCTTAGTGGTCACGTCAGTTAGGTTTGAATGGTTCATAACTAGATGGGTAGTTGGTTTCAAGGTTTTTGGGGTCCTACTTGAGGTAGTATCTGTCTGAGTCATGGAACTCTATGAGGGAGCGGTTGGGATGATCAATTTGAGGATTGTAGTCTTGAGCTTGAGTGATCGGCCGATCGCTTATGATGTCATTTTCTTTGGCGAGGATTTTGTTCTTCCAATTTTTCATGTGTGGAAAGAGAATAATTTTCATGGATACTGTAAAAGATGAATACTAGGGGTATGCTTTCCTTGAGTTCGGATAGAGGATGTTCTGGAATTTTGTTCCAGGTGAACAGGAGAATTGAATCGGGAATGACGACTTTCGTTGTCTGTGTTGTATCTCGACTATGAGGATGATGCCTCATGTTCTATGATTGTGTCTCGCAATGGAGTGAAGGTCAGGGATTTTGGAGGTGAAGTGTATGGTAGTCCAATTGTTCTTAGATGAATAATTGGTGTTGTAAATGGGCTATCAGAGTTATTGCTTGTGCATTTGCATGGGACTCTTGCTGATAGAGGCGGTTATGACTAGGAATTTTCAAGGTCTCCATCTGAGATTCAGAATGTTCTTAAGTTGTTGGGTCTTTATTTGGAAGGTCATCTAGCGTTGTGTTATGCATTCCAAGAGTCAGGGATGATATATATCAGCCCTAATCTAGCATGCAGTTCTCATAATCATATCATAACATAACATGTATGAGTATCTTGGGGAAAACTTACTTGAGCTCGACTGATTGCACGCATCACATTCCTTGTTCTTTATTAAAACCCTTAATTTTTAAATTTTAGAAAAAATATTTTTCTTGTAAAACTCTTTCAAACCCCAGATTTGAGTCCAGAACCACCCGAGAGTGTGTCTGAATCCCTCAAACCAGGGCTCTGATACCAACTTGTAACATACCAAAATTTAAGACTAAAAATATCATTTTTAATTAAGTTATTATAAAACTAACAGTATAAAACATCCCATGTCAAAACCAAAGCGTCAGCAATCAAAAACATGTTATCATAAAAAACTATCATAGTGTAATCCTAAAGATCTCATGTGCGGAAAACATAGTATGATGCGCTGCCATCAAGCTGACTCCTTTCCTCTCGAAGAAGAAATACCTGAAACCAAAACTGTAAACCGTAACCACGAAGTTTAGTGAGTTCCCCCATCATACCACATACCATACAAATCACATACTATCAGGCATACCGGGGTGTCCGACCTACCCCATGTCAGGCATATATGGGTGCCTGACCTACCCTGTTGAGCATACTGGGGTGCTCAACCTACCCCATTGTCAGGCATACCGGGGTGCCCGACCTACCCCATGTCAGGCATATATGTGTGCCCGACCTACCCTCTGGTGTATCTCAACCGGTTATGGGGACTATTTCACCCCTACCACTACCACATAATAACATAACATAAACATATTTCCAGGCATATCGGGGTGCCCGACCTATCCCTTTGGTCCTTTCGACCGAATACGGGGACTATTCCCCCTACTACCACTATCACATGACATCATACCATACTAGCACATAAAGCATAATAGATAGTGGCATACCATACAATTATCACAAAGACAATCATCTAACAAACAACTCCTACTAGTGGGCCGACATTATGGCCTTAGACCCACTTCTACTGGAAGGTAACTCACATCACACTGCTGAAGTCCCACGGACAAAACTCAAGCTGTTGGATGACAGATTCCCGAACTGTCATCATGAAAATAACACCTAATTAATAACTGGGTTCCAGTTCATAACCATAAGTCCATGTTTGGGGTAAAAGACTACTTTACCCCTAACTTAGCTTTATTCAAGCCCAAGGCCCAATCCAAAGGCCCAAAAGTCAAACTATGAACCAAAGCCCAACATATGGCCCAATCTTCCAAATTGGGCCCAAACCTCTACATGGTCTTACCCTAAGGCCCAACTATTTATTCTAGTCCAAACATTTGGCATTCCAATGGTCCAACATCTCATATTCATCAAGGCCTAGTTATGGCCCATCTATGGCCCAATTTGCCAAATTGGGCCCAAACCCCTCATATGGGCCTTACCCTAAAGCCCATCCAAATAATCTAGTCCATACGATTGTTCTTGGATGGCCCATCAATAGCCTAATCACCAAAGCCTAATAGAAAGGTCCAAATCAAGGCCCAAGCAAAATTAGGGTTTTCACATAAAATGACGATTAGGGTTAAGTGTTTCTTACTTACCACATTAAGGACTTAATCCATTAAGTCCATCACTCTACTAGATAAATAATATAGTGAGTGGGTGTAATTCATAATTCAATTCCAATGGCCAAAAACGTGGGTCCCGATATTTCAAACCAACAAATCAACAATTAAGGTTTTCTAAACCCTAATTAGGGTTTCCAACCCAATCATAACCCAATTAGTCCAATGGTTAGATTTTTAGGTTAATTAATGCTCCATTAGGTCAATTAGGGTTTCATTAGGTCGAGCACCACCCACTGCCACCTCGGGCGGTGGTGGTCGACGGTGGCACCCGCTGGCAGCCACCACCTCACGGTGGTGGTTATGGTTCTAGTCCAATCATGTCCAAGCATCCCAAAAGCAATCTAAACACATACAAAGCACACCGCTACCCAACACGGCGGCTGGTGGCGGCTGATGGCGGCAGCCACCACCTACGGTGGTGGTTATGAATTTCCTTGATTATTCTAGTCACTAATTACAATTATACAACACAATATCCGAAAATAAATACACACACACACACTAAGATACACACAGACATACAGCCACCCTTGTGGTGGCCGGTAGTGGTACAAGGTGGTGGTGGTGGCTTTTCTCGCGAATTCTGACCAAACAACCCCACACACAACACACACTCATAACATAATTACACACACATACATTGCTTGTTTGTAAAATGGACCCAGCCACCCACCTGGTGGTGTACGGTGGCGTACGTGACACAAGAAGGCGTGCAACAGCGGCAGCCAATGGCAACACCGGTGGCTAACAGAAACATGAGAATGGGGGAGGGAACGAGCGTAGACCTCCACGAACAACAGTAACGCTAACCACTGGCGTTAGCGGCGGCTTTGTCTTCAACGGAGGGGAAGAGAAGAACACGACAGGGAGGTGGCGGTTAGTCGTCGTCGGGAACAGCAACAACGAGCCTAGCGTCCGACAACATGAATGGTGGCGGAATAGAAGAAGAGGTGAAGAGGGTGGCGACTTCCACTGGAAACAGCAACAACGACACCCCGCGGGTGTGTTCCTTCCGATCGTCCGTTGCCATGGTGTCTAATGGCAACTTTTGTCTTCAACGGAATGACACAGCGACGGTGGATCTCGGTGGTGCAAGGAGACTACGGGAGAGATGGCGGCGGCGGCCGGTACTAGGAGACATAAGGGTGGTGGTGGCAACTGATGAGGGAGCTCCTAGGGTTAGGATTATGGGATGGGTTATATACCCGACACCCTTGAAACTTCATTCCATAATGACAGAAATGGTCCCTCCCCATAAGAATCTTTTCAAACATAGTCCATAATTTACTCTTCATACCCCTGCTCCCATAATTATTTACAAAACCAATCCGAAACTTACACTTTTAACCCCCAACTTCTAAAATTGTGACAGTTAACTCCTCAAGACCCACACCTTTCTATATTATTATTGATTTTAGGGATACTATTCATTCATTAATTTGTCTATTTATTTATTTAATAAACGGGGTATTACACATGGGTTTTGTTCAATGGAAAACATTGAATTATCGGATTGTTGTCAGTGCATTCTCGATCATTGGTTGTTCTCATTTATTGTCTATATTTTGGATGCTTCAAAGGTTCTGAGCTGTATAATTGGAGTTCAAGGTCCATGACAACTAATCGTCATGTTTTGTTATGGTTTAGCAAGGCTTCTTGGTATGTTGCCCTGAATTGCTAGATTGTGAAATTATGGTCTATAGTAGACTCGGGTTTGTTTTGGTAGTAGCAAGGTTGTAAAACTCGTTCGACGTTAACTAGTCGGTGGACTAGGGTTTAGGGATTAATCGGCTAGGCGGAGATTAAGCGGGGACCATTAATTGCTAATTTGTCAGATTTTAAAAAATTAAATATGACTAATATTATATAAAAGTTAGTAAATACCACTAATATCATAACAAAATAGGTTAATATGATAAATACAACACTAATCATACCTCAAATAGTTTCTGTTGAGATATAACTTCTTCACAGTGTTAAAATTTCATCAAGTTCTACTGTTTCAGTCATTGTGTATGCAGGGATTAATCGCTTGGCGCCCTCTAATCGGTCGAGTAGCGCCTAGGGATTAATCAGAGATTAATCGGGACCTAATCGGGATTTTTACAACACTGGGTAGTAGGAAGAACATTAAAGTGATTATCTATGATGAGAATAAAGTTCTCTTAGATCGATATATTCAAACAGATATTAATAAGACAATAACAAGCAATATGAAACAATGAACACCAACGTGAATCAAACGAATGTCGAATGATTAAAACAGCAACCCTCAGAAGAGCTCGATGAAGAACTTCTACTTTAGAGGGTGCTAGGGTTACAGTACTTATCAAAAGAAAATATTCAGAAGCGTAACTAATGAGATGCATGCATGCACCATAAATACTAAACCCTAAAAGCAAACACATGGTTGGACAGGCCCAAACCGTGATTACATATGGACCGAACTAACAAGGCCCAATGGCGCAACACATGAACTCAACAATCTCCCCCTCTGCGCCAATTGAGGCGAGAGATCACTTCGGTTGAGTAACTGTAGTTTACCTCACAGTCTTGAACAGCTTGGGGATGATGGCAAGAAGAGTTTGACGGAAAAGAATATACCACCGAAGCATATCAGTAAACATCTTTTTATCGGCTTCACTGTTCTGATTACACCCGTGTATGATGTCGAGAATATGCTCCAAGCAGGCAGTGGAGGACAGTTGTTTGTCAACAAGAGCGAACAGACACTTTTGACCATCGCCCCTGAGGAACATGATTGTATGAAACTTGGGGTCAATTTTACCCTTAATCATCACATTGATATCGCTTGCCTTCCCAATTGGCTTGAAAGTGGGCTTCTTCTTTATGGCAGAGGCGATTTACTGATCCATCTTTGCGACTTCAAGAATGTCACACACCAGCATTCGCTTGATGGGATCTATAATAGGCTCATACTCCTTTTGATTGGTCGCCAAGATGTTGTTTAGGAGAATCCAATCATGAGGATTCAAATTTGGCAAATCAGCCATGGAGATCATATGAACCGAACTGTCTGAGCCTCAGGTCACTTTGAAATTGATATTGATAAACTTCCCTGCTGAAGTGGGTTTCAACACCTTGACTGTTGTGATTTTCTGATTACTCCAAGTCAGGTATTGAGGTTGAGCAAACTCAAGATAGTACTCAAGCAGATCTCGATCAACCTTCGGGTCAGGAGAGGGGATGGCAACTGTTGACTCAAAATAATGAAAAATGAATGCCTTTCGGGTGATTGGCATATCAAATTGAGAATCCTTGGAATTCTCAAGAGCGAATGAAAGGACCGGTTCGAGCCATTGTATGCTTGGAGCTTCAATTACCTCCCTCTGAAGCTTTTCCATAGACCACAAAGGAAAGATAGATTTCCTCTGTTCTAATACTTCGTTCGCTTTCCTCTCCTTATCAAATACTTCCTTCGCTTTTCGAACCTTTGCCTATATCTCTCGATCATCAGGCTTGACTTTGAGGCTTTCGGTTTTAGAAGCTTTTGCTCCTATATCAGTCTCATCATCGATTTCATCCTCATCATCATCACCAATCTTTTTCTTTCGTTTGTCCTTCATACTGCCCAAAGATTCATTACCCTTCGGCTCATTAGTGACTTTCGGTTGGGTGATAGGTTTGCTTTTTGGAGGATTTTGCGATTGACCCTGAGTGACATTTTCTCCCCCCTTGTTTCGGAGGGACAACGGGCTCCGGAACACCTTCAATCCTGCTAAGAATGTCTAGAGCAGGTCTCAATTTCTCAGCAAAGTGGCGTCGAATTGAGATAGTAAGGACCGAGTCATGGGCTTCCAGAAGATGTAGAAGAATGGAGTGCACATCACCAACCGAGCTCTTGACCACTTCTCTTTCAGACTTAAGCTCTTCAATTTCCTTGGTCGCCGTTTTGAGCTTCAGGTTCTGAATTTTAAGCTGAGAGGTTCGTTTATCAAACTCATCCATGATCTTGCTTTCCACAGCGAGTTCAACTTCAAGTTGAGTGAGACGGGCATCAACGGAGGTTTGAAGCTCGATGTTGGCAGTCTGGATTGCTTTGCGTGTTTCTTCAAAGTGCTTATTCTTAGCCTGAAGCGAACGTGCAAGATTATCAACAAAAGCATTCACCGTTTGAGCATTCTTCTGAGCTGTAGCTTGAATAGAATCAAGAAAGAGTTGAGCATCAGAAACTAGTTTTTCGACGTTTGCGGTCGCTAGCTTGCAATCTTTGGTGGAGGCTTCAACTACAATAGAAGCTTTCTGACATGTGGAAGTGGAATCATCAATAGCTTTGACAACATTAGAAATTGAAGTGTCATGCTCTTTGACAAAGGTTGCCAACAGAGCTTTGATTGCTGCATCAGAGTATGCATTGCCAGAAGAAGAGGAAGAAAGCAGTTGGTCAAGCTTTTCATTCATAGCCTTTAAATGCTTCTTCGTGATAGGAGCGTCATCATCATCATCGCTCTGTACTCTATATGGACTATAATAAACAGAATCGAATTACATTTCTTCTCTTCCAAGAACATGTTCATATTCGTGTGAAGGAGGTGGAGATAAAGGTTTTGAGGTAATTGGGGGTTCAGAACCGAAAGTAGATGCCCCCGTATCAGATACGTTGACACGAACATTAGGTTCGGTTGGATGAGTAGTAGTGGTAGTAACTTCAGTGAATAAAGGGGTTGGAATCGGAATTGAGGTTGTAGTGGAAGAGGAGATGGGTGGAAGAAAGGGAGCAATAGTAATTGGAACCGATTGTGTAGGAGAGAGGGGAGGTGAGTTTCGGTTACCTTCATTAGTTGGTGAGTGTGGAGTCGAATTACCTCGAGGCGGACTGTAATGAAGAGAAACATCATCATCACTGGACTCTGGTTCGGGCTATTGGTCAGAAGGAACGTAGTCAGAGTCTCTTGAAGATGGGGAAGGAGACTTCGGCTTGTGAGCTTTCTTCTTGATCTTTCGTTTCTTTGGAGCAGTAGGGGCTGCCTGTTTAGCCTTTCGCTTATTGGGAGTACAGACTTTTGGGGATTAACCTTCCTTTTCCCCTTTTCTTTGAGGCTTCTTCCCTCTTTTCGCTGGTTTTTCTGCTGCGTCTAAGGAGCTTTGCATTTCTGGAGTAAGCTGCCTTGGCCCTGTAGGGGATAGCTTCTTGTACTCAGTAATCACCTTGCTTTCACTGGAAACACACATGTACATAGATTCCGGAACCGAACCAATAAAGAGAAACTTCGATGGATCTGAGACAAGTATCCTCGTCGTGTGGAAAGTAGCAATAGATTACATCAGTGAGTCTGCCATTGTTGGAATGTGAAACTTTTCCATCGCCCATTGAGTAACTAGAGTTCAAAACCTAGCACAAGAAATTTCAGAGTAGCGTGAAGAAGAGCTTATACTCTGAACCAGTTGAGACCATAAGATAGTGCTAAAGTCCATGTTAAGCCCATGGTACAGACCATAAAGAAGGGTCATGAACGCCCTGCTCGCTCCATCAGAACCTGCAACCCTGTCCGATAAACCCTTGGAGAGGAGGGTAAATAGACCGTTCCACTGAGGAGGAAGACATGATTTCTTGAACTTTGTGACAGTGGTGAGAATCTCAGTGTATCCCATATCATAGAACATTGTAAAGAGTTGAGTGGTGGTAATGGAATCAGGGTTGATCATGAAGTCGTCGACAACAAGCCTTAGCAACAAACAAAACCTAGCTTTTGAAATCGACATCTTTTGATTAACGATCTCAAAGAAAATACGCTCATTTGCATTATTGTAGACATCGGTTGAGTAGACTTGAGAAAGTAGTGACATTGGAACACACTCCACCTGGGTTAGGGCTATGAAATATTTGAGGCATTCAATCACTTGCAGCATGTATGGATCATACTGGAAAGGTGAGAGTTCAATGATGAGGTTTTGATTTGGTTTAATAGTGAGAAGAGAGGACTGAGCAGTTTGTTCATAAACAGATGAAGATTCAGCCATTGTTGCAGGTGTGAAGAAGAAGATGAACAGTAGGGATTCGCCAGTGTGTTCTTGAGA